ATATATATTAAAAAACGCATGTTTTTTCCTTTTTTAAATAAATTCTAAAAAATTAAAAGTAATTTTCTGAAATTACATTACTAAGTTTACTGATAAAAAATTTAGTTCTTAAAACTAATGTTTTCTGAAAAATTATGATCTTTGCTGCCAATTTGACTAAACCTGCAGCCTTGCCTTTTACTGAAAAGGGTTCTGCACCCGTATTTTAAAACATCTAAACTTACTTGGAATCTTTTACTAGAAATATATGTTTGAAGTGCAAAATTTTAGTCAGGTTTTAAACAATTTATTTGTGGAAGTTTATCATACAGAAATTTCTTCTCTGGTCCATTTTGATGTGATGCCTTAATAATAATGTCTTTGTGTTTGCAATTTAAACTTACTGTAAATTCTTGTGAGTTTTTTTTATCATTCTTATTAATGGATTAAAAAAAAAGAGAAGTCAATATTAGCCCCGTGGCAGAATCACGTCGACATTGTTGCCGAAGTTTACAGAATGTTCTTGCAGAAAGTTTTTTCTTTTGGAAAGTAAAGCATTTAGGTTTGCTTTTCTGCAGAAATTTACTGGTAAAATTTGAATCACACTTTTAAATAATCAATTTTGAAGTACTCAATTTATACCAATATTGTAAATCCATTTTGATTGTATTTTCTGCCGTTATGGACATTGATTGGCTTTTAGATATTTCCACATAGTTTTTGAAACCCAATGTTTTTTATACGATATTATTTATTAAAACAATAAAATCTTTAAACGAAATATGCATTTGAGTAACCCCTTTCTGAAGCTGATTCGTGTGATTTTGTCTTAGATCTGCTTTTCGGTAATTTCTGCTGCAGATTTAATGATATAAAAATATTTTTTTAATGTGATGATGTTTTGCAAAATACAATAAAGGAAGTAATTCGTGTATCCCCCCTCTTTTGTTTCTTTATCTTGTCTTTTAAAAAATGGTGACTACTCAAAGCGTAATCTATGGGATATTTAACCATGATATTTCAGCTATACTAAACTATTTCATTTACTATAGCATTATTTAAATATGTTCCTTTTTTCTCTAAGTTTTTTCAGCAATTAAAACTACTATAGTTAGCCTAGTATAGCTCAGACAAGAGCACAGTAAATTTTTCCTCTAAATATATTGTGTATGATATGTACAGCGAAAACACAGGGAATTTTTTTTCCAAATTTTAACCCTGATAATAAATGAAATGCATAGTTACTTAATGATTTTACAACTGATTTTTTACAGGAAATGGAGTGTAATAATTTTTACAGGAATGAAAACAAAGCATGTTTTTCATAAAATAAATGCTATAAATTTTAGTCTGATTAGTACATAGTAAATGAATGCTTATAACAAAAGCATGCAACTTAAATAATAATTAACAAACTTTATTTCTGTTAAATATCTGTTCCTAATTGGTATAACTATAAAACCATACTTACTTGATAAATTCATAAACTTTATCTACCTTAATTATTTAGATAAATAATCATTAGACTAATAAAATTTTATTTATTAAATCTAAATATGAACCGTTGAGGTTTCTTGTTTAAAGTATTCTCATTATACTTTAATTAACTTTTATCCTAACAAAACTTATCTCTGAGATATTACATAATACTAGTTGTATTTTTTATTACAAATTATAAAATTCTTTAATTTAAGAAAATATTTAATTAGTGCTGCAAATTTAATTGAAACTGGGAACAATATTAGTATGGAGCAATAACTCTTGGAAATATATTAATAATTAAATAACATTTAACTTAGACACGTGTGATAATTTTAAAACGATAACTACTTCTTGTTTAATTGTTTGAATTTTCTTGTATTCTAAAGGTGAAGTGTTTTGTTTATTGTTTGAAAAATAACTCATTAACAAAAAATCAAATTTTACAGTCTTATGAAAATATTACTGATTTTTAAAAATTTAAAATTAAATACATTTTTCTAAAAATACTAATTAACTAATTTGGTTTAAATGAAATAATAACTAATAATTTGGTTTAAATGAAATAGTTTTATGGATTAATTTCTTATTTAATTTAGAAATAAAATTTCTAGTTTTAGTTTTAAAAATAAAAAAATTTATTTCTGAGCCTATTTCAACATAGTTTAAGCCTCTATAAGACCATTCTAGTAGTGTATTAGTAAAATATTTTATGAATTGAGATTGATTTTTAAAATGAAATTATACCTAAAATTACTTTTAAAAATAACTTTTTCCTGAATAGCTTGAGTCTGTCAGGCAATAATGAACGATTTATTACCTGAAACTAATTTTATTTTAAAGACCNGAAAGGGGAAAGCATACCTTTTGTCCGACCCTCGACACTTTTCGTGGCATCTTTCTAAAATGTGTCTGCCGCTTGTAGTAAGAAACTAAGAGAGAGGGGAAACGCCAGGAGGGTTAAAGACCATTTTTTATTTATTTTGTGATGGGCGACATTTTCAAAATTTTACAGAAATATTCTCTAAGTTATATTTAAAACTTTTATACTCATGAACAACCGAATTTATTATTAAGTGTAATAACTTATACCTAAAATTACTTTTGAAAATAACTTATTCCAGAATAGCTTGCGTCGTTCGGGTAATAATGAATAACTTATTTCTTGAAATTAAGTTTATTTTGAAGACCATTTTTTATCTATTTATTTTCTGATGAGGGACGTTTTCAAAATTTTACAGAAATATTCTCCAAGTAGTATTTGAACTTATAAATAACAGAATTTATTAATTGTGTATTTATAACTACAAATGAACTCTATGAGAAGTGATCAAATGAATGAATACAAGGAAAAAAAATGGCTACCAAGTGTTGATCTCTTATTAACCCCCATGCTAAATTTTCTGTTACCCACCTTTCTTTTAACAAAGCCCTTCATTGGTATATATATGAATGACCAAAATCAAGAGAATGTGAACCGGTGAATGTCAACATTCACACTGTCGCTTTGGTGAATGTCCGAAATATTTGTTATATCATATTTTATCTAAATTTATTTGTTGATATTATTATACTTTTTCGATATTTTAATATCTGCTGAGGACAGATTAGGAAAAACATCAGTGTACCGGTTAAATGCATTATGGGCGCTTGACCTCAGAAAAACATTGAGGTAGGGCGTACCGGGCACTTAACTAGACCTAAGTATATATTTTAGACGTTTAACAAAGCGACATTCACAACCACCCATTTCGGTCATTCACAGTAACATATATATGGGTCATTCTCACAAAAACAGTCATTTTCATGTCCCCAGTATATTTTATGTTTGTTATACAGCTTACGAAAAAAAAAATTCAGAGAAAGTGTCCTTCACAATGCAAGCTAACAAAAGAATAAAAATTAAATTATAAATTTTTATTTTTTTTTTATTTTAGGTAATTAAAATATACCAATATGTCATTCCCTCACTTGTCCCCACTGCTGAGTTAAAAAAAGAAAAGAATTGTTTCTGAAATAAAAAATTATTTTTTACAAATTCGTGTTTTTTATTTCAGAATACTAAAATATAGAATTCAGAAAATCAATTTTAAATTTAATTTCTGATAAAAATATTAACACAGCACTATNCTTTTACATGCCACATAATCATACGACATGGCCGCTGAGGATTTTCTGCATCCCGAAAATCCGGTGTCTGGGCCGGGGATCGAAACCGCAGACTTGAGCTCAGAAGGCCGACGACAAACCAACTGCGTCACCCAGCCACATGTAATTCCAACATAAATGAGCACATTTCATCACATTAACATCCAAACTACGTAATACATTCGACTTCCCTATAAATATTTTAAATATACTAGGAAGCTCCCCTTGTAACTGCTTCTCATTCATCTATGTGTGTGTGTGTGTGTTTTTTTTCTTTGTAGTTATTAGCATATGACCTCTTAAATCATAAGTGGGATGTATACTTCCCATGGCCTTACAAAGGGTTAAAGTTGTTTTCTGTTAATTGGACTCTTTGAAGAAGAAAAAAGTATGGAGTAGAAAAGAAAAAGAAACCAAAGTGCATTTGTGCATAACAAATTTCAGAACCCATTTTGATTATCCAAAGTACCTAGTGGTCAGAGATAGCGCACAAGTAGTGAAACTCTTGTAGTCGCTACTTTTTTTCATAGTTTGTAACATAGTGAGCTACTTTTTTAAAATAGAGTAATTAGTAGTGCAATACGAAAAAAAACGGTAGTTTTGTAGCAATACCTGGAAACTACTTTTAACGATAGTTTAGTAAAGAAACACGGCTTCGACGCCGCAAATTTTTCGAATTTGAAGGGTGCAAATCTCGTGTCCGTCAATGGATGCAATGAAAACGACCCTATGGTTTCAGCTAAGCGTTAAAAGGAATTACGTATTTAAAATCACGTGTAACTAATATTTAAACTAGCCATTACGAAAAATAGATAATTTATTGCTTTGGTCACACTTTCACATACAAATGCGCACTCTTGAAACATTGATGTTATTTCAAAGGAAGAGAACGTATTTCGTTATACTTAATTTCTCAGAGGAAATAAAAAAGCATTAAACAATTCAAAAATTTCAAGTAATTTAATAATTTCGTGTTTCTTAAATTAAATATTCGTTGTCGAAAAAGCATAAAAAGTTGAAGATCAAATGAACATTTTCAAACAAAACTTTTCGAATAACCAACTGGCTCATGTAAACATGAATGATTATATTTCTTAAATAATTACATTTAATGTAAATTCGTCTCCTTAAAGCTGTGAAGTAGTTACTACAATTCCAAAGTAGTTTTTTGTAGTCACTTCGTTTAAAAAAAGAAGTTGTGGTTAACTACATTTGTAACAATGTAGTTGTAGTATACTAAGAAAATAATTTGGTTTTTCCGACCACTGAAAGTATCCATATGAAAAAGCAGGGTGCTTAGCGTTTTTAAAAAGTGCTTATTTTTGATTTGCATTTTTTAAAGGCCCTTAAAGATGCTTTTTTATTCGAGGTCTGTAAAAAGTGCTTAATTTTCTATGTTTCAAATAGAGGTTTTTTCCTTGCCTTGTCGATTGTCGTCACAAATTACAGAAAAAAGCAGGATTTTTGCAATTTTCTCTGCAATATTTATCAAAAAATAGTTATTTTATCATGGTTATGTAAAGTTTTTGAATTTTGCTGATTTTATGTTTATAAATTTAGAACTTGAAATGATAGAAAGAAATAACTTATATTTTTGCACACATCCTAATTATTATTATTATTTTTTTGGAAAGTGATTAAAAATGTTTTCTGAGTGCTTCAAGTGTGCTTATTTTTTGTTGAAAAATCTGGCTATGCACCCTGAAAAGGTTTAGATAATCCGTATTCTACTGTAATATTTACTATTGAGTTTTTCAAGCTGTGAGAATATTAATTTCTATGATTCTTTTTTTAGGTATGCTATTTACATTCCTTTGTTTCTGCCAATCAGTATTCCAGTGCTGATGTCTCTCACCTATTTATGGAAGTTTTGGAATGAACTAAAACACAAATCGAAACACGATTGATATTTAAGGATTATTTTTCTTGTTATTTGCAATATGTGCTGTCTTTTCACATAATAAAAATAAATTCTTTATTAGTTGCTTTATTATTATTTGCATAGATGCAACCAGAGCTGCAAACTCTCTTGTTGAAAGGTTCTACACCAACTTATTCTCTATTAATATTTTCATAGAATTCTCAAAAAATATTAATACTATATCTGAATAAATATTAACTTCAAATGATATATTTTTCTATTTTCTTTATATACAGTGTCTAAAATAAAAAAAGATATCACCCTGAATAACTTTCCTTCTAATGATCAGATTTTCATATGAGTCAATCTTAATGGTTCGTAACGTTGAATTCAATTATGCTCATTAATTAGTGCTAACTATGAATTGATTTACAGAATCAGACATAAAAACATACTTTCTCTGAAGAAACATATATTTTTTTGTTCTTGTATTTTGAAGTTCAAAATACATTTATTTTTTTTTGGAGAAAATTAATTATGGTTAGTAAATAATTTTATAGAGGGCTAATTTATTAAAAATTTATTGCACAAACATCACCAATCGCCTATTTTTTATGCATATGGGGGTATATATTCCAATATACATATATATATATGTATGTACCTATATCAAAATAATCGGCAAGTTTTGGCCAATTAAAAATCTTAAAAAAGTGGCTAAATGGGCTTGAAAGAAAGTGGACTAACAGTAAGGGAATAACATGTGGCTATTCCCGGGCAAACCTCTACATGTTTGATTCTAAAATTTTGCAAGTTAAAAAACCCTTTGGCATCTAAGCACTGATTGTTGATACGCACAGGTACTGTTACGGAAATATTCTCATAGCACTAGAATCAAAAGTATATATTTTACTACGTCTTCAACAAGCGCTAGAATAATGCATCTAAAATGACGAAACATACAAAAAGTAGCATTCCAAGAAGAATTTCGAATTAATATTTAACAATGCTTTTACGTCTGAAGTTCATTTTTGCTTAAAAACTTTATTAAGACAAATTATTTTTCCTCACGAAACAGTGCGAATTTTCAGCACACGTTTTCAAAAACAAGTAAATATTTCAAACAAATATAAACAAAATATACGAATTATTGAATAAAATAAATTATTTTGAGTTAATTTTTTTGGTCATCTTACCTAACGTACATGTTCTCTCTTTCTATTTAGATTTTAAAAGCCCAAATAAATGAGAAAAATATTTTTTATCGAGCATTGTGATAAATTTTTACGAACTAGTTGTGTTTATGACCATTTTTATTACTTAGTAGTAGTAGTGTGAATTAATCTTAATAGTTTTCTGGTGTATACTGAAATCCAATTAAGGGTCTACCCATAAACTAAGTACTTAGAATGTTTGTTTGCATTTATCCTCACATTTCCGACTATTTATTTCTACTAAAAAACAAAACATCAAAATTAGCAAAATTTATGACTATTAATAGATTATATACTCTGTAGTCGCAGCTAATAATTGGGTGCTTGCACTTCCAGAAGAAAAAGACAACCAATATCTATCAGCCATATGTCGTATTAACGTTGAGCTAAGTTTCTCTACATAACTCGTTTATTAATGTTACGTTAATTAAATACAGAGGTATATAAATACAAACGTCACGTTTCAACAGCCAATCAGGATCGCACTAAGTCACTTGCAGGTATCCTCAGGGCAGGATTGCCTACTAAGCATGTGAGTAGAGCACTTGAGGTAAAGTAGGCTTCACGAAGCACCAATCTTTTTAATAAATATATTTTTTTCCTGGGCCTTTTTAACTGCACCATTTTTTCCACGTACCCTTTTCTTACGGACCTTCTTTTACGTCTACCGAAATTTGATCATAACCCAGAAGACAAGGAAACATCTAGATCAAGCATTGAGACAAACTGGTCTACCTGGAGAACTTTTTCATGGAATTCATCCTCATTTGCGTTACATGAAGAGGGAACTCAAATGATGAAATATTGTGTGAAAGTACATTAGTCCCTATTATATTGGGTGGAAGAAGAAGAAAAAAAGCACCTCGTTTGTAATTATATGGATTTAACAATTCATTCTGTTAAATCAAAATTTAGTATACTTAAAAGTGAAAGAAATATAAATATTTAAAAGACATTAGATATTTTTAAAATTATTTTCTTTTTAGAAAAATGTACCTGCCACCTTTTTCAATTTATCAGGAGATTTTAACACTTCAGGAGACTTAAAATGGTGGTATATTTAATTTTTTAACATGAAACTTCGCGTTTATATATATGTGTTAAAAAATGAGAGAGAAGTTGATCACCCCATCGTCAGCTAGAAACATTAAACATAAATGATTGAGCCCTCAAATCAAAAACAGTTGTAATGTATCTACCACTACAAAAATATAATTCCAATTCACTACTATATAAGTCATGTTAACTCGATTCTATGGTGGGGTAGGTTTTCATAGATGAAGGTTAACATAGTCGATAGCTACCATCCCCTAATTGGTGACCCAGACTTGATGCGAATACGCATACCTTGACAGTAACGCCCACTTCGATTTGAACTACTTCGATGGATGGTCCACATTGAACAGTTGACTTTCTACTTGTGACATGAGGCGCCCACACGTCACACCCCGTAACTCCCTAAAATATTAACCTATAAATTTCAACCTCGGCCCGAAATTAGAGTTCAATGTAACAAACAATTGTACCAAAGGAATTTTTCATAGACCAGTTAGTGGGTCCACAATGGGCCAAAATATGTTTTGTTGACTAACCGGGAGGAGGTGCTTTAAGCTAAATATACGCGGGGCTGGTATGTGAAGCGTGGCGCAGTTCGTAGCGCAATGCACAAGGTTGATATTTGGTCCCGGAAAACCTGGGTTCAAAACCCTGCAAGGGTCGATTTTAAATTTTTTTTATTTATTTTATATTATGTTTTTTAATATGCTTTTCGACAATTTAACGTGAATCAAGTGTTCTGAATATAGAAATAACTATTTTTCCTTTATTAAATAGCGAATAATAGCTAATAAACTGAAAAATTTTGGAAAATTTTTATTTATTTTACTTAATATTATTTTTTTTTATCTTCTTTTACAATATTTTGAAGTGAATAAAGTGTTCTATATATGAAAAGAGTAATTTTTCTTTGATAAAGAGAGAATAATGGCTGAAAGACGGACAAAAGTCGTATCAGGAGGCACACACACATCACACCCCGTAACTCCCTATAATATTGACCAATAAATTTCAAACTCGGCATGAAACTAGAATCTAATGTAACAAGCAATTGTACAAAAATAATTTTTTTATAGACTAATTAGTGGACCCACAAATGGTCAAAATGAGTTTTGTTGATTAACCGGGAGTATCTGTATTAAGCTAAATATTCGCGAGGCGGTCATGTGAAGCGTGGCGCAGTTGGTAGCGCTTTGAGCAAGGTTGATGTGTAGTCCCGGAGGTCCAGGGTTCGAAACCCTGTGAGGGTCAATTTTAAATTTCTTTCATTTATTTTATATTATTTTTTTAAAAATACTTTTCGATATTATAACGCGAATCAAGTGTTCTGTACTTAAAAATAATTTTTTTCTCTTTGTGAAATAGCGAATAATAGCTAATAAACGAATAAATTTTGGATAATTTTTATTTATTCATTTACTTTATTTTATGTTATTTTTTTAACTTCTTTTTCAATATTTTTAAGTGAATAAAGTGTTCTATATATGAAAAGAATTATTTTTCTTTGTTAAAGAGCGAATAATGGCTGAAAAAGGGACAAAAGTCGTATCAGGAGGCATACACACATCACACCCCGTAACTCCCTATAATATTGACCTATAAATTTCAAACTCGGCCTGAAACTAGAGTCTAATGTAATAAACAATAGCAAAAAACTAATTTTTTATAGACTAATTAGTGGGCCCACAAATGGCAAAAATGAGTTTTGTTGACTAACTGGGAGTAGGTGAATTAAGCTAAATATTCGCGAGGCTGCCATGTGAAGCGTGGCGCAGTTGGTAGCGCTTTGAGCAAGGTTAATGTGTAGTCCCGGAGGTACTGGGATCGAAACCCTGTGAGGGTCGATTTTAAATTTCATTCATTTATTTTATATTATTTTTTTAAATATACTTTTCGATATTATAACGCGAATCAAGTGTTCTGTACTTAAAAATAACTATTTTCTCTTTGTGAAATAGCGAATAATAGCTAATAAACGAATAAATTTTGGATAATTTTTATTTATTCATTTATTTTATTTAATGTAATTTTTTTAAGCTTCTTCTCCAATATTTTTAGGTGAGTAAAGTGTTCTATATATGAAAAGAATTATTTTTCTTTGTTAAAGAGCGAATAATGGCTGAAAAAGGGACAAAAGTCGTATCAGGAGGCATACACACATCACACCCCGTAATTCCCTATAATATTGACCTATAAATTTCACACTCGGCCTGAAACTAGAGTCTAATGTAACAAACAATTGCACAAAAATAATTTTTTATAGACTAATTAGTGGGCCCACAAATGGCAAAAATGAGTTTCGTTGACTAACTGGGAGTAGGTGTATTAAGCTAAATATTCGCGAGGCTGCCATGTGAAGCGTGACGCAGTTGGTAGCGCTTTGAGCAAGGTTAATGTGTAGTCCCGGAGGTCCTGGGTTCGAAACCCTGTGAGGGTCGATTTTAAATTTTATTCATTTATTTTACATTATTTTTTTTAAAAATACTTTTCGATATTATAACGCGAATCAAGTGTTCTGTATATAAAAATAAAAATTATTTGTTTGTGAAATAGTGAATAATAGCTAATAAACGAATAAATTTTGGATAATTTTTATTTATTCATTTACTTTATTTTATGTTATTTTTTTAACTTCTTTTTCAATATTTTTAAGTGAATAAAGTGTTCTATATATGAAAAGAATTATTTTTCTTTGTTAAAGAGCGAATAATGGCTGAAAAAGGGACAAAAGTCGTATCAGGAGGCATACACACATCACACCCCGTAACTCCCTATAATATTGACCTATAAATTTCAAACTCGGCCTGAAACTAGAGTCCAATGTAACAAACAATTGCACAAAAATAATTT